TTCTTGAAAAGATATATTTGAAGTTTTTTTTAGATGAAATTATCTTTGATATGGTAATATACGGTATAGCCTTTAATTGACATTGAAAAAGCTCGAAAGAAATAGTTGTTTGAACATCACTTTTCAACCATTATCATAATTTTTTTTGGGTCTTTAAGTAATTAATTGCCGATTTGTAAAGCTTCAATTAGAGCTCTTTCAAACAAATAGATGTTAGTGTTCATGTTCTTTTGATTATAAAAGTATAAATTCAATCATCAATCCATTTTTTATAGAAAAGATGTAGCGGGAGAGTTCTACGTTTGTTATTTGGAGGCATATTTTCATTAAATTTTGTTTCCCCCTCAAGAATCTTCATTGTTGCCTTTATATCAATCTCCGTGAACTTTAACTTGTTTATATTAGTATGTATATGCATACAAAAGGGTGAAAACACGAATGAGATTGTTCGAACCACGTCAAGTGGCTCAAAACCTTGTCCGAATTTGGCTCAAAAAAGTTTCATTTTTTTAAAACTAGGGTCCTCCTTTCATCACCTTCATAGTATATCTAGGGCTTTTAGCATTGCTAGGGCAAATTGTTTAACCGTATAAAACAAGCTATTAAAGCATATTGTAACCCGACCATTTTTTTAAACGGGTCAAATTGTTTAACCGGAACCCGACCCGTTTCGGGTTCGGGTCAACCCAAACCCAAAATTTTCGGGTCGGATTTTTGGGTCGGGTCCAATATTGACAGCCCTAAAAAAAAGGTATGATTCAAACATATTCGAACCACATTAGAATTATATTCGAACCACATTAAAATTATTTTTGAACCTTCTAATCTAGCAGAATCTCTATGTTAAAAATAGAATGATAAACACATGAAATCAAATTACAAAAGCCTAAGAGATTGATGTGAATATTTTACCAAATTAAATCCAACAAGAATTGGATCATTGGATAGTGTTGATGAACATTTATGTTAATTGGGTGGCTTTGTTCCTTCTTAAATATAGTTTTGTGTTGCATTCCCTTTTCTAAAACTGAAACTTAAATTGGTCCTCCTAAAAATTTGATTTTTTTCCTCTGATGTCTCTATAGCTAACACTGTTCAATCCTATAGTACCAAATTTACACAATTATTATTTTTGTATGTTTTGTTAATGGACCCCTTGATGCTACAAGAAACAAATTTGGTGGTTGAGGGCGCGCATTTGATCGGTTTGGACGATTTAATTTACAAATTAGCTAAACCAATTGATTTCAATTAAAAAAAATAAAAAATTGAAAGCGAACTTTAAGCTTCGTTTAGGATAACTTTCTTAGTGCTTTTTAAAATAATTTTTAGTGCAAAAGTTTTGTGAATGAACATATTTTGTACCATTAAAATATTTCAAAAAATAATAAAAAAACGGTCTCAAAGGAAGCTTTAATTTGGTGAGAGTGGATTCAATTTTGATGAACTAAAATATACTTAATTTTAACAATGAACATGATTATCATTAGCTTAAACAACATAATTAATAAAAAATGCTAAGTAATTTTTGTTTAAATTTCTTACTTTTAGCATATAGAATAAATAATATCCCCATTGAACTTTATATCATTTTTAATTATATTATTTTATTAAATTAATATAATTTAACTTTTAATTTGATCAATTATATAAACAAAAAACCATTGAACTTTATATCACTATTATTTCACTTTCTTTTTCTATTTTTTATATCTACTTTATTTTTTTTTTCTGAAAAAATAATATATTTAGCATATTTTTATTAAATATTCCATAAGCCAATTTATTCGATTAGATGATCGGGTGGCAATGTTAGGTGGTTGCGACCAATGATAATGACACTACTAGTTAGTTGTGGTGATAATGGCCATCCATTATGACAAACAACGATGGACGATAATAATTACGATGACAATGTCCGCCTACTATGACAAGCAACGGTGGACGACAATTGACAATAGTAACAACGATAACGATGAAAACAACTAGAATAATGGCCAACGATTATAGAAAACAAGGGTGGCATCAACACCCGAGATCGCAAGAGTGATGTCCAATCGAGTTTGATTTTTATTTAAGAAAATGAAAACACCTAAAGTTATTTGGACAACCAAGTAGAAAATTCCACTTGAAATAGTGTAAAAATTTCTTGAACAAAAAATTCTTATACTAAAAAACTGTTTTAGAAAGCAGTAAGAAAGCTATTCCAAACGAAGTCTTAGCCATAACTTCCTTAGCTGAGATTCATAATTCAGCTGATTTTTCTTGTCTTTTATTTTTGAAAGCGAAGACACCTATGGCTCAATATAAAACTAAAAACACCAGAGCTTTACACACAACAAAACAAAACACTAAGAGATCTTCAGACAAACAGATCGAGATTTGTCACAATTTGTATATTCAAGGATTTGAAAAAGGAGGCCGTAACAGACAAAACAACAAACATATAGCATATAAAAATGATACAAAATACTATAAGAAAACCAATCCTGATAAGCCAAAAGGAAAAGAATAGAACAAAAGAGAAACAACCACAACAAATCATTCCTTAACTCACAAAGAAATCATCTGTAGATTTCCATTTCATTAGCTTCACAGAAAACTGTAAATAAATCTTATGGGGACGAAGCCATACAGTCAAGTTGTTTGAAGAAAGTAACAAGCAATTCCTTTTCATGCTAATAAAAATGCACCAAGATCTTAACCACAAGTAGGGATGTCAATAAAAGCTCGTTGATGGCCAGCTCGTGTTCGATTCGTTCATTAAGTTTGGAAGCTTAACACCAATAGAATGTCATGAACAAATTTTGAACATATGAACACACACATATTTAAATAGGATGAATACCTGAACACATTGTATATATTGCATTCAACAATCAACAATTACAAGAGTAACCAAAGCAAAAAATACAAACGGCAAAACCGGCCCCTACGAAAAAACAGAACAAAAAAAACAGTCTTTCTCAAGCAATTATTGAAGTATATACAAAGAATCCCTTTCCCCTATCTTCCATAAAAAATTTTCTTCTATAGCACATTGAGCACAATAATGAGTTGCTTTATTATATCTTTTCGGTCTATGCACAGATACCACAGAGTTGAACAACTTTAGCTAGTTGAACTGGTCACTAACATAGATCGAATACAAACACACAACAAATTCGTGGGAACTCGACTAATTTACACCCATAATTGTAAGGATAAGAAATCTTATTAACATACCATGGCTATGATTTGCACTAGCTTTTATAGCTTGGTATAAAGATGTATAAAAGGATAAATTTTTTCTTCAATAAGCAATTTTCTAAGGAATCACATAGAAAAGGGTTGCAGAAGAAAGATGGGAGAGAGTTTCAGCTTTCACATTGCACAAATAACAGTTAATACAAGAATCTCCACAATTTTGAACCCTTTAAGCAAGCCATCCAAGAACATATGAAGATTTCTAAGAAAAAACCTAATAAAAACCATGAAAATGTTATCATAAAGGCATTGGGGAGAGTCTAGTTCTAATTGGCTATTAATTTATTACTTATTACAGCTTCTTTGCTGTAATTGAGGATAATGAAAGCTTGATTGCCAGCAATATCAATAAGATATTTATCTTTTATTCAACGGTCAAAGAAAACAAAATATGTAGACCCTTCACCAATTTTAAAATCTAGTTAAATATCCATAGAAGAAGAAGCCCATTGTAGAATATTTCCTAAAATATAACATTTTCTAGGGTATCACATCCAAATCAAACCATAGCAAGTTTGACATTATTTGAACAATTTTAATTTTGGGGGATTTACAAATATATCACAAAATTCTTTTATATTTACATACTTATTACTTAAATCTTTATATTTATATATATAACATACTAATATCTAAATCATATAAAAAATATTAACAACAACAACAATAGCAACATCAAATATTTATCCCATTAAATGGGTCGGCCATATGAATCCTTCTTCTCTATTAAGAGTGAGATTCTCATTTAAATCTAATAAAAAAAGATCATTTCTAATATATTAAAAATTAAATCATCTAAAAAATATCACCGATATTAATTTTTTTAAAGTGAAAAACATCTTTTCATGCATATATTTTGATATTATTTTGACTCTAATATGTGATATGCATGTAAATACCTCTTTAATTTTACATAAATAGTTACGAGCAGTGAGGAAAGGTAAGCCCATACCTCTTTAATCCTATGGAGAGTGGCTTGCATGCAAGATATGCCACATCTAATTTCTTATACTATTCACCACCAAACAGGAATCGAGCAACCAAGAAGAAACCTTTATGCAAGATTTTGGTTAGGTGCAAACATGAACCGGAAAGAGAGAATTTCAAATTGAATTTTTAACAGTTGAAATATGCCAGCCATGAAGGAAAGATCTTTGATCAAGAAACCTGGAGGGAGAAATAAGAATGTGAAGCACTTAATAGGAAAATAGTGAAGAACTGCTTAACACCTGCGATGATTAGATGTCCAATAATCTATCAAGCAACAGAGAAAAATTTAAAAGTAAAGCAATCATGATACAAGATTTTTTGTCTTTGTAGTTACTAAGAATAAAGCTGTAAAAAGGCTTGTTGATTGCGAACAGCCCGTTGTTTGTTTGATAAGAAACTCTTATTCGACTCTTCTGCTAGTAAAGAAGAAAATGATATATTGGCTATTTATGAAGGACCAAATGATTAAATGATTATTTTGGTCCCTCAAATCTTTGAAAAGAATCAATATAGTCTCATGGTGGAATTATTTTAGTTCATTTTTAAGAAGTTCAGGGATCAAAATGATTCTTTAATATAGCTGAGAATTTTTTTGATCTTTTGTAAAGAGTCAAAGAGCCATTTTGATTCTTTTCTCATACGAAAGTGAGTCAAACTTGAACATATATTTAGAGCCATCTTTTTAACATATCCAACACAAACAAATCTTTACTTTTACTCCTCTAATTCAATGATAGTGTGCGACTACATTAAAACTTCTTATAATTTGAGCCAAATTTGTGTCCAAATACAAGCCGCACAAGCTTGTTGGGGCTAGAATAAATCGAACAAAATAAAAATCAGCCGAGCAAAACACAAATACATATCAAGCTCACTAAAACTCAGCTTAATTACACCACCAACTAAGAAAAGCATCTTGAATATACTGATCAAAAGAGAGAGAATGATTCATCAAGTGTTTCTAATCTTTTCCGAAAAGATTAGAAACTAGGCTTCACCAGCACCAGGTCCATCAAAACCATGTGTGAAATATGTAATAACGCTAACCCATGACACATCTCCTAACAAGAACAAAGGCAAATAATAAATCCAATATAATAACAGCCAATTATTGAATAAGTCTAATAAATCTCATTCATCACGTTCTTTTCACTGTAAGAGAACAAAGAGGATAAATATTAAATATTCAAATAGAACCATCGAAACAACTATTTATTTCGAGAAAACATGCTTTATATAACAGTACGATGAGGTTTCTTCTTTCACTGAGTTTTAATTTGGATTAGGAGTGGAAGGAAAGGCATCTGTAGCAATGGGAGATGAAACAGCTCACCTTCCTGCCATTCCTCGGCTGGAATATCATTCCTCAGATGGTTGGCAAGGTAATTTTCCTTTTTTCTTAAATATTTATATTTATATTTATAATTAAGAACACTTTGGTTATTTTGCCATCGCATAACCATTATTATAAATTTGAATAATATTAGTATGGTTAAGAACTTTAATCATGGTTTTCTATAGCTATAGTTTTCATCACATCAACAATACACATAGTTCATCAAAATATGTGAAGATAAAGTTAAAGTAATGATAAATAGCTTATTTTACTCATAGTTTTATTAACGATGGTAATACAAATTTGAAAAAAATTGATAATTGCTCTAAATTCAGGCAGTGCAAATAACATATTTGAGTATTTATAAGGTTTTTTTTTTTGATAACTTTCTTACTACTTTCTATAGCAGCTTTATAGTGCAAAATAAAAAAATTTTTTGGAAGCAGCGAAACAGTGATAAAAAGCAGTTCAAAACAAAGCCCAAGTCCCCAGATTGTACTTTTCTTGTAGTATATAAGTTGGTTTATTTTTGCTTTAGGATATTGCAAATCCTAGTAGAAATACTATGATTGTTTTGCCTATTTAAAGTTCCAAGAAAATTGACTTCTAATCATTTTTATTTTAAAAATATTTAGGAAAATAATATTGTTAATCAGATTTTTTTTTCTTAAAGTGTGTGACAAATAAATTCTTAGTAGCAGTTTTTCATTTTTAAGAGTGACTATTGCTTGCATGGACTAAAAAATATTACTTAGCAAATTTTTACAAATAATTGTAGGATTTTTAGTTACATAATCAATCATTACAATTTACAAATCTTCAAAAAATGAGCTGAAAATGTCATTTTAACACTAAAATAATTTCAAGATACAACCAATCACATTTTATTATATAATATGAAGTAAAATCAAATTAATAGTCATATTTTCGGCAGAAGTGTGGAATAAAAAACTTTGACTTGTTTGTTTAATTACAAATCATATTTTTATGAATGCAATTATTGATGATGTGACTCAAGGTTTTGTTTCTGAATATGATTATTTAGTCATATTTTTTGTATAAGATTATGGTTAAAATTTTAATTGTCATAAATAGTCACACTTCTTCAATAAAACATAAGAATTGTGACTGGAGATATTATTTTTAATCAAATTTTTTTAAAAATGTGATTAAAATTTAATAACTAGTTCCATTTAAAAAAAATGTGCAAGCATAGCACAAATCTATTGTAGTGCCAATCAAAAAATTAATTAATATATTATCATAACTCAATTTTAATGTAGGGCAACACTGCAACCTTAGTAATATCATTCTTGTTTGCAATGAGTTTTTCGTCTTATTTCTAAGAGCATAGTGAACAACGAAATGGAGCCATTTATGATTTTAAATTTTGATGAATTAGATTCAATTTCAATGGCTTTACATCAAATAATTTGATTAAAATCAATTCAAAACTCATTAATATTTTTGATTGTATTTAGTTTTAAGCATAGACGGAGCCAAAAAAATTTATTAGTGATAACACAAATTGATGATTTTCAAATTACTCTCAATCATTTTCGGGTGATTTTTTTTTACCTTTCTATTTAATAGTTCATTGTAAAGTAATATTTTGATCTTTAAAAAATATTAATATTTGTATTTAATAATTTATTAAATTCTATATTCTATCAGTTAATATATATATATATATATGTGTGTGTGTGTGTGTGTGTGTGTGTGACATTACTGTCGGATTTAGTTATAATTTAAGTTAAATAATAGTAATAACTAAAGCTCAGATGACTAGCAGCCCAATGTCATGGAACTTAGAGGTCTGGGTTTGACTCCTAGCATGGGCGGAGGGAGTGGGGCTAAGCATGCTATATTTTGGGAGTCAAACCCAAACCTCTTCGACTATAAGCATGCAATATTTTGAGACATTCAAACCTCTTCGACTATAAGCATGCTATATTTTGATATCGTTTGGTCATCCAATTAATGCACTAAAGATTTCAAATATGGTTCGGTCCCTTGATTTGGGACCATTTAGGCTCGGATTGGATCGATTTTGATGTCGTTGGGTACGTCTCCTTGAGACATTCAATTTGATTATAAGTTTACTGAAATTGGAGTTCAGATTGCCCAGAATTTAATTTTGGAAGATGTTAACTTGAATATGTCTCAAGATTCATGCTTGATCATGGGAATTTTTTGTGACATATCATATTTTATTATTTGTTTACTCATTTGATTTCTTGAGATAAAGGGTTGAATTGGTGATTGATAACTCACTCTTGTGATATTGTATATGAGAAAATGATCAAAATTATCCATTAACTCCCTATGAAGAAATATAATGGTCCACAACTATATTAAATGACTATTTTGATCTCTCAAGTCTTTAAAAACGAATTAAAATAGTCCCACCATAAACCATATTGTGCATGTATATTTTAAAACTAGCGCACTTGTATAATTATATAAACTATACCATAAGTTAGCTTTATTATTGTTTACAAATATATATTTTTCCAATTTCTTTAAAAAAAATGAAAGAAATTTGAACAGCTTCAAGAGCAAAACCTGAACGTCTTCAACAGAACCAATGCCATATCTTCGAGACGAAATCCAAACAACTTCGTAAACAAAACATCCTTTCATCATGCAACACCAGTTTCCAATCGGTTGAACATCCCTTCCATTCAAGCATATTGAAATTCCTTTCAATAAAAAACAAATGAAGGAACAAAATATATCAACAATTTTTAGTAAGTGAAATCAGCTCTTGGAACAAATAGTTATCAAAACTGAACTTACCAAATATATATCAGCATTTTGTAAGAGAAATCAGCCCGTGGAACAAAGAGCGATCACAACAGAACTGACCAACTAAATCATTTACAGTTGAAGAGAACAACCATCCCATTGAGGAGGTGAGGCTAACAGTGGACCCCTTCGACAATCCAAAACTACCAGCATCAACATTTCGTGCATGGCTGCTCGGAGTGAGCTCCTGTGTATTGCTCTCCTTCATAAATCAGTTCTTCGCGTTCAGGACAAATATGCTGGTTATCAGTTCCGTTTGTATTCAGATTGTCACACTACCCATAGGGAGATTTCTTGCAGCAACTCTCCCCAAGAAAGACATAAAGCTCCCATTCACAGACTGGTCCTTCTCGCTCAACCCAGGACCATTTACAATGAAAGAACATTGTCTTATAACCGTCTTTGCAGGCACAGGAGCACATGGCGTTTATTCTGTCCATCTTTTCACTGTAGTCAAGGCCTTCTATCATAGAAAGATCAATCTAATGGCAGCCTTCCTGTTAGCACATACATCACAGGTGAGAAACATATATCACTTGTATACTTTGTTGTGTAAAATGAGGTCTAGAGTGCATAACTAGCTAGTTTATTTATGCTTACCATTGCTATATTTAGGATTAATTTCTATTTGTCTTTGAAACTTTTACAGTTGCTGGGCTATGGTTGGGCTGGTATTTTCAGAAAATACCTGGTTGAATCTCCATATATGTGGTGGCCAGGAAACCTTGTTCAAGTCTCCCTCTTCAAGTACTAATTTATAAAGTTGTCGGTAATGGATATCTACATTCATAATTAATATTATTTTAAAAAATATCTTACCATTTGCTCACTAATTTTGGCAGAGCACTGCATCAAAAGGAGAACAGAAAAAGGGGAGCAATAACACGGTTTCAATTCTTCATCATTGTCTTCATATCAAGCTTTGCATACTATGCCATCCCTGGTTTCATCTTCCCTGCCATCTCTGCCATCTCTTTTCTCTGTTTAATATATAAGAAGTCTGTCACCATGCAGCAAATTGGTTCAGGACTGAACGGGCTTGGCTTTGGCTCATTTGGCCTTGACTGGTCCACTGTTGCCGGCTTCCTTGGCACCCCATTAGCGACGCCAGCAATAGCTATCTTTAACATAATGATAAGCTTCTTCTTGAAAGTTTATGTTCTTCTCCCAATTACTTATTGGACCAACACTTATGATGCCAAACGTTTCCCTATGATATCGTCCAATGTATTTGACAGTTATGGAAACATCTACAATATCTCGCGGATCATCAATGGCAAAACATTCACTCTAGATGTTCAAGAACAAGAGAATTATAGCAAGATTAACACTAGTATTATATTTTCTTTTGGTTATGGCCTGAGCTTTGCAACCTTAACAGCTTCCATCATGCATGTTGCTCTACATAATGGAAAGTATGTAAAAGTGAAAGGATAAGGCTATTTACATGAATTAAGTTTCTGTCTAGGTTATAATGCTAAATTTAACTTGAATTATTTTTATTATTCATCAGGGATATTTGGAAGATATGGAAAAATGATAGAGAATATTCAACGGATAAGTTACAAGATGTCCATACAAGATTGATGAAGAGAAATTATGAGCCAGTGCCTCAATGGTGGTTCCATCTTCTCTTAGTTTCTATGATTGGACTCTCCATTTTTACATGCCTAGGTTTCAATAGACAACTACAACTTCCATGGTGGGGGGTACTCTTTGCATGCGCCATGGCTTTTTCTTTCACATTACCTTTTGGAGTAATCCTGGCTACTACAAATCAGGTTTGTTGTTCTGTAATTTTATAATGTATTTTTGAAAGAAAATCTATCCAACTCGGTAGAATACCCTAACCGCGAATAAATGCCCTTAATGGAGCAAAGATAACTAATAGGTCAATAGGTTACATCGTAAATTAAAATGCCCAAAAGAAAAATCTTTTCAAATTTGCGGTATTTATAATATTTAAAAGTTGCAATACAGGGAGTAGGTCTGTATGTCATTACAGAGTACATCATAGGTTTAATATTACCTGGAAAGCCTCTCGCAAATGTGACATTCAAGACTTATGGCAGCATAAGCGTTGGCCACGCACTCACACTGCTTAGTGATCTAAACTTGGGGAAGTACATGAAGATACCGCCAAAGTCCATGTTCATTGTACAGGTAACTTCCTCAATCCTCAAGCACATAGAAGAAATCCAAAATTTCAAGTCTGTGCATTAAAAACAGCAGTAGAATGTGTAAATAACAAACATAACTATACTAACGCGATCATGTATTGTACAACATACAACATCAATCTAATAAACATATATATATATATATTCCTGAAAAATATTTCATTGTGAGTTTATAGAAAAATTCAAAGAAAAATAAGAGCTTTAGGACTGTCTTTCGCTTGATATGCACTCTTCCACGCTTAAAATAGTTCCTATTGCAGTTCGTAAGTGCAATTTCTCTAACTACTAAATATGGAAGTTCCTCGAAAATTCTGATTTCTGAATTATTACAAACATTGATATGTATCAATGATAACCATATTAGTTCAAGCAGGAAACAAAAATATAAATGATATTATTTCAAAAGCAACAACAACAACAACAATCAAGCCTTTGTCCCACTACGTGGGGTCGGCTACATGAATCCTTTTTCTCCATTGTGTCATGTTAAAAATCAAATTCTCATTCAAATCTAATAAAGAAATATCATTTCAAATATTTTCTAACCAAGTCTTTTTAGATCTACTTCTATCTTTCTTAACATAAGTCAAATCTAATACTTCAACTTTCTTAACCTCTCTGATATTATTTCAAGCATAATACAAATATACAAATCACAAGCATCGTTCAATCTCTAACAACAACAGTTTCATCATTTTTTTAGGTATAACTGTACATGACATCAGCAAATTGAAGTGATTTTGTCTGCAGAACGCTGACTTCTATATATTTATATACTTGTCTTTGAAATTTCTCAGTTAACAGGTTCCATAATAGCAACATGCGTTCACTTTGCAACAGCATGGTTTCTCCTTAATACTATAAAGAACATATGCGACACAAGCAAACTTCCTCCAGGGAGCCCATGGACTTGCCCTGTGGATAGCGTCCACTTCACAGTCAACATCATTTGGGGTCTTGTAGGTCCTAAAAGAATATTTGGCAAACTTGGTCATTACTCACTTTTGAATTACTTCTTTCTAATAGGTTTCTTGTTACCCATTCCATTTTGGTTGCTTGCGAAAGCATTCCCTGAGAAGAGATGGCTTAAACATATTCACATTCCCCTGCTAATCTCAGGTGGAAATGCCATTCCACCAGTACACGCAGTGAACTACATCATGTGGGGCACGGTTGGTATTTTCTTCAATTATTACATTTACACAAGGCACAAGAATTGGTGGGCAAAACACACCTACGTAATGTCAGCTGCCTTAGAAGCCGGAGTGGCTTTCATGGGAGTGCTAATCTTCTTTTCTATGCAATTTAAGAACATAAATGGCATAGATTGGTGGGGTGGATATGCAAATGATTATTGTCCACTTGCTAGTTGTCCTACTAGTCCTGAAGTGTCCGTTAAAGGATGCCCAATCACGCAATAAGAATGTCTCTAGACTCTAGCTATTAAAGCCAATGTAACTAAAGCTCATCAGCATATTTTAGGATTATGCATCCATCAATCCTTGGGCTGTAAGTTGGTCTAATAAGTAATAGTAGATACCATTGTATCACCCTTTATCTTTTAAAGAGAAGTGTTCATATCCATCCAAAGCAGAAATAAAATCGTATTGGTGATGTTTATGTTCACTTGGGCAATTCACTCATGAGGAAAGACTTCTCAAGTCAACTTGATTCGTTACTGTTCGCTTATTTATGCACTAGCTATAATTATCAAAGACCTGAGATTGGAATAATGAGATACCATAAAAACAAGCAAATGGCAAACTATAATTAGGTGACCAAATATAAAATGATAAAAGAGAGAAATGATATAAAGGCGCTAGAAAATGATTGCTTTCTTTTTTACTTCAAGTTGATAAACTACATATTGCAAACATATAAACTATAAAACTTCTAAATCCAATTTTCCAAATGCCCGTTCATATTAAATACAATGCCAAAAGAATATAGAAAATGTACACTGGCTTCATTTAGGCAGACGGTTTCTTCGAGAAAAGAAATAAACCCAAAACAACGTAAAATATTTTAGTACGAAGAAAGGGAATTGGTGAACAATCTTCAATTAGGTACATGCAGAATTTACAAGTGAATGTGCAAGCTTGAGGGAAAAAAATCAGCAAGAAAACTAAGTTAACAAACACCAATTTGAACCTTAAATTGTTCGAGTTCAATTTCAAATTTGGAAAATCCATCTACTATATACAAACCTTTCAAAGTGCTGTTTAATGAAACACGAATTTGAGGAAGTGCTATGATGTGTCCTGTAACTAAAAAATAGCAAGATGAGAAGAAAAATGAAGGAACACAAGACAGAGGTTGAATTTTTATTTCCCCTACAATAATAATGCAAGATACAATTGATCTACTATTTGAGAGATATATCGTCTATCCCATAAACCCTAGAGTAAAATTCAGCAAACAAAGGATCTTAAACCTAGACAAAACTCCCCCATAAATAGCCCTCACACACAACAAACACAATTGGAACCTTGCTAAACAACATAAATATAATTAGAAAACCTTCTTAAGCAATTAAAACCTTCCTAAACAACATAAATATAATTAGAAAACCTTCCTAAATAATTAAAATCTTCCTAAACAACATAAACACAATTAGGAAACATTCCTGAACAATTAAAACTTTCCTAACAATATAAAAACAATTAGGAAACCTTCCCAAATAGCTCTCACTTAATTCCTCCTCCATACATAATGAATAATAGCTCTCTGGGCCCCACAAGGGAGGATCCCCTTAGCGGTATCATGCTATTTGGGGATGGACAAGTGTCTCAGATGTAGATAGTTGGCGGGCAAAATATTGGATTGTCCTATGACTATGTAAGAAGGGATATTTTATGCTAGATATGGTATTGGACTTAATCAAAGAGGATATCAAATGAAGATAAAACAATCAAAAGCTATCACCTGCTAGTACAAGTATGATTTTATGCATTCACATGTTAGAAGGCCAAGGATTTAACCAATGTGGTTCAAGTAGATCTTAGATCAAGTCGTGTCAGTTACACTTAATTTGATTATGGTGCTTTACAATCATTCATATTTGAAAAAGATTATTGATGTATCATGTTTACCCTCTACAACATTTTGGGTTAGTTTCTCAATTTTGTTAACAACTTATAATGCTATGAATGATAGCCATGTCGGTGCATGTGACATTAATTATATAACTTTTAGTTTAATTTGATGTGATTATGGGAATTGCATGGTTTTCTAAGGGGTTGTTTTGTTACAAGTAGAATGAGTGTATTGCATTTCTTTTAGATGTATTTTAACTTTTTATTGTTTGGTTCCAAGTAGAATGAGTGTATTGCATTTCTTTTAGATGTATTTTAACTTTTTGTTATTTGGTATGATGTAAAACAAATGCATTGGATTTATTTGAGATATTACTAATACATAAAAGACCATTTTTCCATAGCTTCAAATTTCGTTGGAATCAAATGAGTTCAAAATACATGCTCGCATGTATTCCGTCTCACGACATTAACCTCTGCCCCGAGCTACTCCTCAAACTAAGCTAAGGCATTGCAATCTCTCCACCCATCACAACGTCATCGCATAATACAAGGTCATAATTAATTTCAATATCCATAAAATAAAATTACATTATTAAAATTTGTATATATATATTCATTTCTTTTAAAATTATAATTTTTAATTAGTCATATGTAAATCATAAACTTAAATTTGATATTCCTAACTTTTTACATGAATGTCTCTTGCCTTCATAAATAGGGGAAAGAGTCGGTGCGGCTTACAATAAAATAAGTGACAACTATGACAAAAGCTGTTTCAAATCATATAATTTCTTTTTCAATTTTTATTATAAATATATTTAATTATTAATTTTTTATTATTTTAAATTAAATAAAATTTTAGGTTATTATAATCTCCCCTTCTTAAACATATTTTGTCCTAAAAATTCAAAATACAGTAATATAAGTCATACCTTAATTAAAGAGTTGCGGATAAAATTCTTTTATTACTATTTCTTTGTGACATCTCATTCTATACCATGTTTTCATAGAACTCGCAAAAAAAGGATTCTCTATTTTAAAACTCAATATTCTTTCTAGTTTTTCTACTTGGCTGAACATTAATATGGTCTAAAATAATTCTGCTAAACAGATTAGCCACATACTTCCTTAGTAAAGAGAAGCAAAACACAATCTATACTTCTTACATAAGGTAAGGCTAGTCTATAAGCCTCCTTTCTAATTCTTTCTAGAATTTCATAAGATCCAACATATCGTAGTTTTTAACTTTTCAGTCTTACCAAAATTCTTTACACTCTTCATAGGCCTAAGTTTGAGAAATATAAATTCTCCAGCATCAAATTCCACTAGTTGGTGTTTTGAATCATAATATTTTTATCTATCTTGCGTAGCTCTATATATAAATCAGCATCAATTACCTTCTTTTTATCTATTTCTAGCCAACACAATGTGTTATACATTTTTTCTATGAAGAGCTTCATATGGTGTTATTCCAATAATTGCCTAAAATTATTATTGTAAGTAAATTCTATCAATGGTGTGATTCTCATCCTCCACCAAAATAAATCAAAAAGTATTTTTTTTTCTCAGTTATAGTTTCTCTTATGCTTTCCTGAAGTTTTTCTAAGACAATTTTAAAAAATAGTGAAAAATAGGTTCCATCTACCATTCCTACCACACAAAAAAAAAAAAAAAAAAAAAAAAAAAAAAAAAAAAACTAAAATGAAGCCTAAATGCTAAAAACTAATATAAAAAAGCACAATTTTGTGCTACCACAAGGTTTTAGTTTCTTCACAGTTCACATAAATTATGCTAAAAAAGTAACCTCCAAACTGAGTTAAGAACAAAATGATACGATATAATGGGGACTGCAATGTTTGAAATTGCATGTGTACAATTAAAAAGAACAGTTACACAACCCATAACAAGAAATAAATAACTACAAGCATCACATTGACTACGATGTTGAAAATATTGCGGAAATGCATAACCCAAATTCATCAAAAGCAACTTTTGTTAAAGTTCCACAAATTAAGAAGAATATGAAAGAATGTATAGTTTCTAACACCTTGGAAATATAATATAACTCTAGATGATTTCATGAAGCGCATCTAAAAATCCATTAACACCCACTATTGTCTAATGGAAAGCAAGAAGATTCAAGGGAAAACCTAAGACCGACTTGCTCATTACATTGGCACAATCATCAAAGGTGCAACTACGCTCATTCAATAACATGACTGTCAACAGTTCAGCATGGATGATCACTTTCCAGTGATCATCCATCACAAGGGAAAAACCCGATGAAGCAAACCCTCAAATTTAATTTTAAGATTTAAAAAATGGCATTTTTGAAATCCTCCTTTCAAAATAATTTGTTTGCCCTAAACCCTTTAAAAAAACTCATTGTCTCAGCCTACCTAGGTCCCCCGCACAAAGCTTCGCAGTCACGCTCCTTCGTTTTGTCCCGTTTAGTTGTTCTCATTGTAGGTCACGACGTCTGACCATCTCATCTCCCTTCTATTCTTCTTTATGCCAGTCACACAAAAGCTTCCATTCTCGCCTTCTCCCTCTCTCCCATTCTCGCCTTAGCTTACCCACATTCCCTTCTGCTGGTTTGTTTCTGAAGACAGTTTGAAATAGCAATTTTTACTATTATGTTATCCAGGTGTAGAACATAATATCACATTAGGCTACTATTAGTATTAACTACAGAATGAGATTATTTACCCTATTGATTTATGTTCAATTTCTTCAGCATTTGATTTGGACATTAAAAAGTTAAATTGTTAGGGTTTAAGCTTTTAATTCACAATCGCAGTTCATAATAATGCTTATGTTATAGTTATTTACTCACTCTAAGATTCTCAATTATTCATATTTTTACGGTTTAATAAATGGATTGATATTTGAGAGAAAAGAATATGTAAAGATTGATAATGGTAATCAACTTGCTCAATCTGGACATCGAACTTCAATTTAGAGTTATGATATTAATGAGAGGGATAGAGTCCAGAGAACATATTTGATAAAGGGACGTCATCAACTAAAAATTCATAATTTCTCCTAAATAATAATCTGACATGCCACATAAAGGTTTAATTCAAAATGGTTAAAAGCAGAGCATGCAGAAATACATTGCATTTTTTCTTTATTGTTGCATGTTTAAACCACAAGAAAATATTATTATAGATCAAGGTGGCGGAGACTCATTTATCGATGAAGGGTTTATTGGAGAGAAAAAAAATATAGCTAATTTTGGATAATATAATTGTGCATGCAAAAAGGTGGGACTAAATACGAGGAATAAATAACGGCTAAATAACAGAGTGCTCCTACTATATGATTTGAAAGTACTCGTTCTTAATGATAATCCTTAAACATTCTATATTTGTCGCATTGCTCATTAATTCTGAGTGTGCTAAGTAGCTGTAGTAAAGAATTAATTGCAAGCAAAGTAACTTTTTGAGATCACTTCAATAATTGTTATTAATGTTGGAGATTTATCTAAGAGGAATGATATTCTTAAAGTCATTTAGCATGACAAAATACGTTTTTCCATTTTAAAACTGTGGAGTTAAGTAGTGGTGAGGGTTTGAATCAAAAGACTAACTTACAACGAATTGGTGAAACCCATCGGAGTTCGCATTTACATAAGTTAATTATTTTCATGAAAATATGCTTTTGTACTAAAAGTGTTTGAGATTGTAAAGGAAAATATGATACATGAACAACGATTAATTTAAGATAGTATTTTTTTTTTTTGTGCAATGAAATCTTTTGATTTTGTCTTCTCGGTGCAATTAATGATTGACATTTTAGAAATATTAAATGAATTATCACAACTCTTATAAGAAAAATCAAGACAATGAGAATGCAACAAAATTGATGCAAGTATCTAAATGAAGTTTGTAGATGCTGATAGAGAATGAATGTAATTATTATTAATTGAAGTATCACTCTTTGCAAAGTTTTTAAAATTATTGTTACAAATATGAACTCTACATTTAAGGCACGCCAACACTCATTTTCAGAGAAAAAAAAAACTTACATCATTATCTTGTTCATTTATTTTACATAATAGCTGATATGCAACTTAAAGTGCTGAATAATTATTTTTCTACAGTTAAACAATCCTTAGTAATTTTATTATATTTTGAAATTGTGAATTTTTGCTTAGTAGTATTTTTGTTGACTACTATTATGATATTTTGATAATTTTTTAATTCAATCTATTTATGCTTTAATTAATAAAATGAATTGAAAAATGTGAAAGAAATATGATGTAAGTGTTATGAAGTGTTGTTATGCTAGTGCTAGTGGACAACGAGGTGAGATTTTGTTATGCCGGCACCAGTGAGCTATTGAGATGGGATTCTGTTATGCCGAAGTCAATGGGCAACCGAGGAGAGATTATGTCACCGAAGTGTTGTGATGCCGACACTAGAAGGCAACTAAGGTGGGATTATGTTACCACTGTTGTGATGCTGACGCTAGTGGGTGCCAAGTTGAGATTCTAGTAATGAAGATGTATGAAAATTTGAGCTTAAGAGCTATTCTGATAAGCATTATGAAGTATTTGTTTATTCTTCAGTTAGTTTTTATATTTATTTAATTGTATTCAATTTTATTATATGATTCAATTCAAATTTTAGTTAGTTTGATTTAAGTTATTGATTTATGTTTTAGACTATGATAGTCTACTGAGTCGTGTTAGCATATTCTTGCTTTTGCTTTCAAGCCAATGAAAGGGTAAAGAGTGTGCTGGATATTTTGGATAACATGTGCTAATCTATGTTGTAGTTATATTTTGGTTAGTTTTAATTTTTACAGGCTTGAATTTTATTTTATTACTCTTTTTGTTGCAAAGTGTTATTGTGGATAGCCTTCAGATTGCATATATTTTGGATAATATATAGAAAATGAATTTAAGATTCAATAGTCTTCCGATTATATTGCATTCAGTAGTGGCTCTGTGTAGAATATAAATTGGAAGTATTATTTCAGTATTTTTTTAATTAGATCTTGATGTCAGTCTTGCCACAATCAGATACTGAATGACCTATATGGTATCAAGTCATATCGGGTCAGATTGTGACATATGCATTGACGAGCAATCAATTCTTCTACAAGTTTGTTGTAAGATCTTTCTGTTATGCTTTGATTTTTGTTGATCTTTGCTTTCAATATTTAGTACTTAAGTTTTCATGCATTTTTATTCAGTTGATTTAGGAGTTGGGTTATATTTTAATTTTTTAAATTTTCTGTAAGTCATTTATTTTAATGTAATTTTTAGTACCATTTCAATGTCGTCCTTGGATAGGGGGATACATCGAGTATGATAGGCCTTCACATTGTGACCAAAAAATTTTTTCAATTCCTGCCTACCAAGAAAAGTAATTAAGGGTTTTCAAGCACATATTTATAAAGCATAATATTTCCCATATGCCAAGAAAGACAGTCATGAGTACTTATTTTCATATATACGAATTTTCCTGCTGGTCAAAAAAGGAGAGCATGGATACTTATTTTCATGCATAAAATTTTTCTTTCTAGTAAAAAAAGGTAATAACATGTACTTATTTTAATGGAAATAAATTTCTCCATTTACCAAGAAAGACGATCACGAGTGTGGACCTCCGAAAGGACACCGTCACAGCTAACGAGTGTAGAGGGTACATGACCGCACCACTCCGAGGGATAAAGACGATCGCAGGCCTCCGCACTCCTCGCAAGCAGGCCAATGAAAATACAGATTAGATAGTATATATGACTGACCATTGAGGATAGCGTCTCTCGCCAGAGCACCCCAATGTGTAGTAATATATACGACCTGATTATAATAACGAGTTTCCCCTACCAGTTACATCAGCTCGAGTGGGGTTTATTTGATGGTGGAGTTCTGTTTCCCACGGGCGCAAGCCCCCATGGTTAATTACATCTCGAGTCTGGGGCTTGAGAAAATTCTCGATTAAGGATCCAATATTATTCTTCCCAGATAAGGGATTGTCGCACAAAGGGAAGACTAGGAAGTTCCTACTCAAAAGAGAAGAAATGATCCAAGGGGTTGAGCCATCATGCAGGGTTTATACCAACATCCGGAGGGACTAAGACATTGAAAAGAGAGGAAATTATACACTCAAATCATACAAAGGGGAAAGATGGAGGTGACTCCATCTACATGATGCAGATAAGCAAGATTTGTAATCCCTGAAGAAAAGGAACTTACCAACTATTTAGGCATACTATGAGACACCCAGTGTAGTAGCCTCAAATTCTAGATCTAAGGTGGGTTTAGTGTTATACCCAACACTAATGCTCATGTCCTAACTAATGCACTTGGGCTTATATCCTACATGAAAAGGAATGTCAGCTAGCCACCTAAGCGCTTCAAATTCATGTTACCTGGTCTTTATGAAAGATGGATAGGTAGTTTGAGTATTTTGGAAGTAGGGCAGACATCTAGAGAGCTTCCTAATTGATCATGGACTTATGTATGGTGAATGCTCCTAGAGCTAATGTAATTAAATTTTTGATTAATGAGTTTCTAATGCGATGCATTCTAGTTGAAAGATCCAAATCATGTATGCATAAGATTTTAAAAATAGGCTTATATAAAAATAATTTTTAGAAGGAGACTAGACTTTCCTAGGTCCGTCACCTCATCCTCATAGGCCAGATTATCTAGACTCTACCCGTAGGTGGGAAGTGTCTCATAACAAGGAGAAATAATGATGCATTAATATGCATGTGACCCCGGACGGCTTCAGTTATTCCTTAAGTCGTTAAGTTTCTAAGTTGTTTAATTCTTAAAATTTTAAAATTAGGTTGTGAGTAGAAAAATGATTTTATCCTAAAGAGCATATCATAAATCAGACAATACACATGCAAGAAATAAACCTATAAAAATCATGCAATTTCTACAGCACAAATAATATAAACACATCAATATAAATTAACCAAAAAAGTAAATTAAGAAAGTCCACGACAAGTGCCGTATAAGTATAACTTCGGATTTGCAGAAAAGTAGTGGTGGTCAGGCTCCACCGATAACAATCTGGATTCTAATCCTAAAGAATGATGCAAGTCTTAAAAGCTGGGCATTTCATCTTCAAGTCTTCGTCTTCAGGTGGATCGTCCTTCTCCAGATCATCTCCCTTCGGATTGTCTTCTTCAAGCTCCATATGGTTCATCCTCTGTAAGGGTACCCAAATGACTAAGAAATTCTCTTAGAGGGGGCCTTTCTTATTCTCTTTGGGTACCGAGTGTTTGAAATACAGGACTTTTAAAACTTTTGCAACTCAATAAACATCAAATTATATTACATTTAAAAATAGAAAATCTAGATACATACTCCTACATGGTTATCCTAAAAAAATCTAAAGCAGTTTATAAGTCACATTACAAGTAATTATATTTGCAGAAGAAGTAAACACACTTGTTCACGCTCTTTTAATTTAGGGAGGGGGCTTTAGCAATTTCTAGAGTGCCTACAGAAAATAAACGTCAGTTTTAGAGCTTAATGATTATGGCCCCCTCTATTAGCGATGTCTGAGTGTGGCCACATGCATAAGGCTATATCAGTATAAAAGAGGCCATAGCCCATGGGCATTCTAACGCACACATCACA